CTCAAGAGAGAGAGATTTTTAAGAAGGTAAAACTGAGAATATCTGATGTATTTCAATGTATTAACAGGAAATTTAAGCAAATGGTGAAGAGTTTGGAAATAAATTAGTGATAAGTACGTACGAAACTAAGCAAAGAAACAAAAAAGATTATTATTAACTCCAAGAGTACAAACTGTTGTATGAAAAAATAAAAGTAATCGTAGTTGTATACTGCTCCTGGGGATGCCAAATGGAGGAGGGTGATGTTAAGGGCTGGTATTTTTCAGTTTAAGCCTTGCAGGCCTCTTTGACATTTTAAACTATGTGCATGTATAATTTTAAATAAAACAAAATATAAATGTAAGCTACTACCAGGCTTAGCATGATAATTAACTTTTTCTATTAATGAGGACTTGGATAATACAATTGGGGAAATGAATCTAAAACTTCATCCTAAAGTTTGCATCTCAAAGGTATATCCAGCTTTAAGAGAACTATTTTGTATTTTAAGTGCTGAGGTGAAGTAATCTTTAGCACCCTGGTATAAATCCCCTTTCCAGAGAAAATTTCATCACTTTCTTTAGGGTTTTTATCTCAACTTTCTGTGCTTTCTTCTAATATTATAAAATATCATTCAACAATATGAGCAGTGTGTCACACTATTTTTTAAAAATGACAGAACAATACTTTAGCTTAACTAGTAAAAAATGTCTGCCTTGAGAATTATGCTCTTTTAAGAACTATCTATATGGGATCAAATTGACAACAGCAATTCAAAAGATTAAATAGGAACCTCAGAGGGCAGTGAGTTTATGTTAATGGTGGAAGAACAACTCAGAACAGGAGGGTGAGAATGGTTGGACAACTACAAGAATGTAATCAATGTCACTGAACTGTACATGTAGAAACTTGCTGAATTGGTGTATGTTCTGCTGTGTATATTCTCAACAATAACAACAAAATAAATTAAACAATTTTTTAAAAAGACAGGAAAATTAACTTCTTTAGAAAGAAAGCTCATTAAGGGCCTCCAAGTTTAACTTCTTCAATCTCTACAAAGGCACAGTTGAGTTTTAATCAGGTTTTAAAGGCAGATGCTAAAGACCAATAACTCACCTTAGATTCTGACTCAAAGGGAAATTGATACCAAAGTAAAAGAAAAACTTTATTCCTTACCCCCTGCTCCTTCCAAAATGCCCCGGACTACTGCCTGAACACCACTGGGTCGCATTAATCTTTCAGAGAGCAGCTGCCCACAAAGACGCCGAAGCCAAGCTGGGGCCAGAGACCCAACCTGTGTCTTCCCGTCTGTGCAGGGCTACAAAAAAAGAAAGGGGAAGATACGAATTCTTCATATCAATGAAATATAATAATATGTGGAAAAAATTTTTTAAATGCTGAATCACTGAGTCATACTGACAATTAACAGTGTGCTATACAGACTTCAAAAGAGCAATATATCTTCTTTGGAAAGCTCTCTCATTTACAAAACTTCAGCATTTTTTTTTAGCATCATTTTTAAGAAAGTAGAAATATAGTACAAATGAAGTATCAAGTGAAATTTTAAACTCAGAAATAAACACATCAGGAATAAAATATAGACTTTGGGAACACAAAGTTAATCCAAGCAATCTATGAATCCCGTCCTTCCAATTAAATCTAGTTTCCAAAGAAGATTCTTATGAACAACATTCACCACTAAGAGGACCATTCACCACAGTGAGGGAGCACTCTGGCCCTTGCCTCCACAGTCCTAGCTACTTTGATTTCTTGTGACACAGCAATTTCAGGAAAGAATTAGATTTCTTCAAGGGCTCCATGAGAGCTCTGGGGCCACTATGAACAAAACAGACTTGATGTCCCTAAATAGAACACTAACCATGTTGCTATCAATCACTGCAGTTAACTATATGAGCATAAAAATTGGTGACAGAAACATTTAATCCTAACTAGCCTGTCCTCTGACTCTTTTATTTAAGGAGAATTAATAATTACCATTCATTGAGGGGGTCAGAATGTGTCGGGCACTAGGCTAAGTACTTCCCACATAATCTCAAAAGGGCCTTACAAGGAAGGCACTATTATTAACCCCATTTTATAGGGAAGAAAACTGAGGAAGGCAATTCACACAACAGCACACTGGGGTTGAATCTGGTGTGCCTAACCCCAGAGCCTCTGCTTTCCACCACGCTCTTATAATGCATTTGGTTTAATCTGGCAAACTATGGACTCTTTCAGAGAAGTGGAGTATGAGGCCAGTAAAGCCCAATGGGAGGCTATAGCAGTATTCTGGGCAGGAGAGGAGAAATGACTTCAACTAGGAGGCATCTTTGTAGTCAGCTTCAGCAGGTCATTGTTCCTGACTTACAGTAAATTAATTTGGCCCCTCACCCTTTGCTCACCTAGATTTATAACTAAAATTTAGGTACAAAAAGCAAACAGATAACTCCACCTACATCACAAAATTAAATAATTTCAGATAAATCATTATTTTTAAGGAGAAAAAAAGAAACTTATGTTTAGTAGTATAGCATTATTTTTCAAACAAAGGAGCTAAGAATAGTCACAATAAAAGTTCTAGTTTTAATTTTTGACTTCAAATACTTCAAGAATAAGGTATCCAAATATTTCTGCCAGAAGAATGGATTGTCAAACAGCTAACTTTTAGTTAACAAATCCAGTTTCAGAATGAATCAAATATATTTTAAATAAAATCGCGATAAGCTTGAAAAAGTGATCATAAAGTTATTGGAAAAAGCATCCATCATTCCATTAAATGAAAAATCCTTTTAAATTATCCTAAGGATCAGTGTAACTCAGTTTTATAAATACCACTTAATGATTTAAAAAATGAAATAAGGTTCAACTAGATTGGTACCTAGTCAACTAGAGTTATCTAATTTCCCCAGAGAAGAGAGCACAACACACATTATCATTAATGATTCACCCACAAGAATACCTGGGCTGGTCCTCCCTGGAGGATAAGTAATTCCCGGACTGCTAATGGTTGATACACTTGATCCAAGATGTCTCTCAAGGCCCCCCTAGATAGGGCTCTTTCCTCTTCATTTAAAACCTGAAAGAAACATGCACTTGGCTTTAGAGGAATACAAACCAGGCAAGCAGTCATTAGAAGGAAATGCTTCTTTCCTCTCTTGATTTCCTTTTACATGGAGAAAGCTGTACTCCTTCAACACCCCTGGCCCTCTCTCCATCCCCTCATGCACTCTGCTTCTGGACTGAGATGTGATTTATCTTATTGGTAAGTTTGGAATACACTCACTTATTGGTGAGTTTGAGCATGCACAGCTCAGCTGTTCCTCTTTCTTGGGAGCAAGTGCACATTCTGTTCTGCTCTTCCTTGCTGCACATTTTACGGTGGCATATCCCCAGCCATGGGGCAGAGGGCGCTGTAGTTTTCCCCTACTCCTTAAAACTGGGTGAGTAGCACGTCTAATTCTGAGTGCACTGTTAGGAAGCCCGTTTGCCTCCTTATATAAGTTACATCTTCCAACTTTGCCTTTAGAGTAATAGAGGTGACAGTTGATTTCTCATCTCTCTTATTCTGTTAACTGTTTTTTAATTGATAGAACTTGGGCAAGGAAGAGAGATGCTATTTACTGGGCCCTCTGGAGTCCCACAGTAATGTCTCCCTTTGGTAATTACTAACCTCACAGTCAACCAGTCAGGGTCCTACCCATTACCATTTAGCAAATTAAGATAATGATGCTGCTTAGACCAGCAGCTATTGGTGGGACTTTGTCAAGCTTCATCACGTGCACCCAGTTTGTTTCCCTTTCTGTCAACGTCTTCTCTGTTATTTTCCTTTTCTTTTCCTGTCCTGCCTAGGGCACTGCTTAGTCCCAGTAACAGTAACAAAACCTGTTAATCCAGATCCCCCTATCTCAGGAATGTGCAGGCAGTAGGCACTGATAGAATTGTCAGTACTCATAACCCTGGAGTTATGCTATGTTCTCTGTAAGGTAAAGGCACTGGGGGAGCTCATAATTTTGTGTCACTATGTGGATGATAGTGGCTTTCAGGAAAATGTTTATGAACATAGGCAACAGAAAGAGTAGGAAAGGAACAAGGAATTGGGTGAGACAGGAAAATGACACAGAAATGAGACACATAGGCATCGAGACCAGGCTGCAGTGGCTAAGGAAGTAACCTGCCTAAGAGCTTCCCTGACCCTAGATACATTTATATCTTACCCCTTCTTCTGGCTAGGTTCCTACGCTCATGTGCGTGGTCCTCTTATAGGGGAAGTAGTGCTCCCTGCTATGTCATACTTGTTAGTCTTGTCTCCCTAATTAGTGTGTGAGTTCTTAGAAGAGAATGACCATGTCTTATGCTTCTGTAACCTTCACAGCACCTTTAGTAGTTTAGGTTCTCAAATGTTTACTGACTGAGTGACAACAAAAAAATGAACATTTTTTCTTTTCTTTTTTTGCCATCTAGTCAATTCTGACTCGTGGTGACCTGGTGTACGTAGAGTGGAATCGATGCATAGGGTTTTCCAGGCTGAAACCTTTTAGAAGGAGATTGCCAGGTCTGTCTTCTGAGGTGCCCCTGGGTGGGCTCAAACTACCAACATTTTGGTTAGTAGTTGAGAGCTTAACTGTCTGCGCCACCTAGGGCCTCCCTGTACAGTGTACTAGGTGCTTTACAGATTTTATCTCATTTAATCCTCCCAAGAACTTAATGAAGGAGGAGGTATGAATAGTTTAATACTAATACTAGTGGTAATTATTTTTTATGAGACCCACTGGGGACTGGGCTACATGCTTTACATACATTATCCTTAATCCTTACAACCACCATCCAAGGCAAATATCGCTATTCACATTTTATAAAAGAGAAACAACGGATCAAAGACAGTCTGAAAGAGCTGTTTCAAAAAATGACAAGGGGTGGGTGAAATGGACTCTCTGGGCATGCAAAGGACTAGCATCCAACAAATGAAAGCTCTGTCTCCCCTAAAAAGATTGATTTATCCAATGGAAAGGCTTTGGCATTAAATAAGAATTCTAGGACTTTCAATCATCTTTTTTCTAAAGAACTAAGAATCATCCTTTATGACAACCAGGGGAGGATTAACCAGTAAGCAAGGCATGCATGGGCTTAACTGTGTTTATTTACTAATCTGTAGTGCACAATTTCACATGGTGAAAATTTGTGAAAGTAAGCACAAGTAAGCCTGTGTGTACCTTGCTTATTGGGTAATCCATCCCTGGTGACAATCACACACAAATATATACACATATTCACACACACACACCCAACGAACCTTTACCTCTTCCATAGGTTTTTGTGGTTTTCTTTTGGTTGGGCAGAATCCCAGTTGGCACAGTCCTGCTGCAATATCCCCAAAATGGTGGCAGAAAATCAAGCTCCCGAGAGATGCATGCTGAGCAACATTTAGGAGGACCCTGCAGCTGGTGTACAATCTCCGGGTTGCACTGGGGGCAGCATCGAGACGTACCAGGTCTTGAACAACAGCAACAAACTCAGTCTTGTATCTCAAAGGGACTCCAACACCAGGCATGAGATAGGGGCAGACACCTAAGGTGACTACAAATTGCAAAACTGACTGGACGGTCTTCTGCTGTGAGATGCTAAGTGTATCAGGGCTCAAGGCAGGAGCAGCCTCTGGAGTCCTAGGGTTAGGTTTACCTGGACTGAAATCAGCTGCAAGGCGGAACATGGTTTCCTTTAAGCACAAAAGCAACAGCAAGGTTTGGGAGGTAAAACTCCAGGTGACATCCACAGAATTTTGTGGCCATTCTGTCTTATTAGCAATTTCATCTCTCAGGAGTTTCAATTTCGTCCAATGAGGATCCTTCAGAAACTTGTCCTCCAAATCAGACAGGTTAGATTTTAAGGTAGCCAACAAGACATCACGTTTTGTGATCTGTAGTGAACTTGAGCCCGATCCTTTTGAAGAAAAAAAGGAGGTTATATACATGGAAAACAAATTGTACTTCCTTCTGTGTGGAATGCCTTGCCCCATTCCAGTTCATCCTCTGAGGCCCAACTCAAAATCACTGGCTCTGGAAAGCCTCCCCCAATCATGCCAATCCAGCCTAAGCAAAATTCAAGATTACTCTTCCTGCCCTGCCATAGCGCTTTGGATGTAATTGGAATAGTGTGCCTAACATGTTATATATACTTCATTTAGCTTATTTCTATTCCTCCACGTGTTTTGAGGGCAAAGACAGTGTCTCAGTCATCTTACAGGGCTTACATTGCACCCAGAAATTAAAAAACTGAACATTTACCACAGAAGAGTCATTCAGTCGAACTGCTCTAGGTGCTGGCAATATAGCATTGAACATAACAAGACCCTTCCCTCATGGAATTTACATTCTAGTGAGGAAGATCACAAAAAACAGACATAGGGTTCAAAGGAATTAATTTAGTTATCTCCTCCCAAAAGATCTACTTTGTTTTTCCCATTCCTGAAATGGTCTTTTTTGCCCTCTACTGGTGATGGAGCCCTTACACACTCTCAACAGCAGTTGACATAGTGGACTACTCTCTCCTTGAAATAGTCTTCTTTCTTGGCTTCTGGAACACACACTTTCCTGGTTTTCCTCCTACGTCAATGTTCATTTCCGCAATGTCTCCTCTGCTGACTCCTTTTCCTCTAGCAGATTTCTAAATGCTCCAGGGCTTGGCTGGATCCTGCACTCTCTCCTTAGATGATCTTATCTAGGCCCATGTCTTTAACAACTCCCAAATTTATGTCTCCAGTTTATGTCTACTCTCTAAATTCCGGATACATATTTCCAACCGCTACTTGACATCTCCACCTGGATATTTCTTGTTGCTGTGTGCCGTCAAGTCAATTTCGACTCATAGTGACCCTATAAGACAGAGTAGAACTGCCTCATAGGGTTTCCTAGGCTGTAATCTTTACAGAAGCAGATTGCCAGGTCTCTTCTCCCGCAAAGTGGCTGGTGAGTTCAAAATGCCAACCTTTTGGTTAGCAGCTGAGTGCTTAACCATTGTGCCACCAGAGCTCCTTTCTTAGGCATCTCAAATTCAACGTGTACAAAATGTAACTCTTGATTCTCACCATGCCCCCCACTTCCTGCTGCAGTCCAACCTGCTTATTTAACCCAGTCTTCTTCATCTCTTTTCTTTATCTCCCTAATCCAATCCATCACCAAGTATTATCTAGTCTGCTTCCAAAATATTTCTCAAATTCCTCCATTTTTCTCCATCTCTCGATACAGTCTTTGTCTATGCTATGATCATCTTTAAACTGAACTGCTGCAACAGCCTCCTAACTCATTTCCCTGCTTATACTCCTCCTCTCCCCCAAAAATCTACTTCCCACTTATCAGCAAAAGGGCTCTCTTAATACTTAAAACAGATTTCTTTACCATGGTGTAAAGCTCTTCATGATCTAATTCCAGCTACCTCTTCAGCCTCGTCTCATTCCACTCACTCTCTGGTTCTCTACACTTCAGCCACATGGGCCTCTTTTCAGGTCTTCAAACAGGCCAAATTCACTCCCAACTCGGGACAACTACTATACTTTCCACATGGAATACTCTTCTAGGTCTTAACATAACTGGCTCGATCCTAGAGGTCTTGTTCTTTAATATACATACAAAAGAATGCACAAAACAAAAATGTACAGTTCAATGCATTATCACAAAGGGAACTCACATATAACCACCACTCACATTTAAAAAGAAGACATTGCCAGCTCCCCAAGGATCCCCTCATTCATCCTTCCCATCATTAACTCCATTCTCTCTCCCAAAGGTAACCAATAATCTGACTTTTATGCTTACCACTTTCTTTAGTTTCACAGTTAAACATGCATTCTTAACCACTGTAGTTTTTATCTGTTTTTGAACTTTATGTAAATAAAATCACACACATATATTTTTATGTCTGGATTCTTCTGCTCAACATTATGTTTGTGAGATTCATCTACATTGTTGTATATAACTGTAACTTGTTCATTGTCATTGTTGTATAGTATTCCAATGAATTGACTTAGAGTTTATATATTTACCACACAATTTATTTTATCCATTCACTCCACTGTTATTTCTTATATGCAGATATTACAAATAATGTCTATTTTACATTCTTGTACAGGTGTCTTGGTGGAAATGTGCACAAATTTTTAATATGTATAGCTAAGGATGGAAATGCTAGGTCATAGGGTATCTGGAAATTTCAATTTAAATCTTCAGAGGTAGTCTCCCTTGACCAGTCTAAAAGTCATCCCCCACCCTACTTACTTTGTAATGACACCCAATTTCTATTCTCCATAGCACTTATCACAATCAGTCATTATTTTCTGTTTATTTCCTTTATTCTCCACTAGAGTTTAAATTTCATGAGGATGGGAACCATGTCTCTCTTGTTTGGTCAGTGGTTTGCATAGTATAAGGCATGAAGTACATACCAAATGAATATTTGTCAGTCAACTGAATGAAAGAATGAATGAAAGGGGTGATTAATAAAGATTTATTACAACTCCTATCAGATCAACCCTCCCACAAATAACTATAACCTCTGGACACCTGAAAGTGATAAAAATGAGCAAAAACCGGAGAAGGGTTGACACTCAGGGGGAAAAAAAAAAAAAAACTGCACTGAGCAAGTTTCCTGCTTTTCCTTGCCTTTTAGCCTAAGGGCAGGCCTTAATAAAGCTAAAATTCTAATGGTAACCTACTGGCTTGAAGAGCTAAAGGACAGAATGCAGGGTAACTACAGCTCAAGTGCAAAGTAGGAAGGGAATCCCAGAAAGAAGAGAGCTGGGCTGCTAACCTAAGGGTGGGAAGTTTGAGTCCACCCAGGGGAACCTCAGAAGAAAGGCCTGGCAACCTACTTTAGAAAAATCAGCCACTGAAAACCCTATGGAGTACAGTTCTACTCTGACACACACTGGGTGGCCACGAGTCAGAATCCACCGTACTGTCTACTGGTACTGGGGAAAAGGGGAGTTGGGGGATGATGGCTAAGGGGTACGGGGTTTCCTTTCAGGTGTAATGAAAATGTTCAAGAATTGATTGTGGTGATGAGGGATGCACAACTGCATGAATATAATGAAAGTCACTGAATTGTACACTTTAAATGGGTGAATTACATAGTATGTATATTATATCTCAACAAAGCTGTTGAAAAAAACAGAATTGGAAGGAATATGAAAAACTGAGAGGCAGAAAGGTTAATTGCCCAAGGGCATACAGCTTGTAAAGTGGTCTTTTTTTTTTTTTTTGTCTCATGTATTTTATCTAAAAAATTTTTTTATTGTACTTTAGGTGAAGGTTTACAGAACAAATAGTTTCTCATTAAACAGTCAGCACACATATTGTTTCATGACATTGGTTAACAACCCCACGACATGTCAACACTCTGCCTTCTCGACCTTGGAGGCCTTTTTTTTTTTTTTTTTGGTGAAAATATACATAGCCAAAGATACACTATTTCAAACATTTCTACATGTACAATTCAGTGACATGGATTACGTTCTTCCAGTTGTGCTGCTATTCTCATTTTAAAGGTTTACAGAACAAAATAGTTTCTCATTAAACAGTACACATATTGCCCTATGACAGTGGTTAACAACCCCACTACATGTCAACATAAAGTGGTCTCTGTGGCTCCTCAATTGGGAAGATCTTGTCAATTCACCACAAAAGATTAAAAGTGATTGTAAATCCCCCACTGGGCTTTAACGCTTAAGTACGCTCCAACGTCACTGTTCCCTTAGTGCCTTCTGCTGGACTCCTTCGCATTTTGAACATATCTCAAGTGTCCACGTTAGACCCTACGCCCTCAAGAGGTTGGAGACTTCATTTCATTTACCAAGAGCCCACCCCCTCTGAACCTTAGTTTACTCAGAAGATTGCAGCGGGAACTGAAGGAAATAATCTGCCCAAGGCGTCAAGCACAGTGCCTGGCATAAGGCAAACGCTTAAGAGATGGTGGCTATTACCAGTATTCAACGGATCCCATCCCCTCCTTGAACCTCGATTTTCTAAATGATAAAATAGATAATGCCCAAAGCCCCCCAAAAGCGCGGCGGAGCGGCCTCTGGGCCGGAGGGTCCTGGGGAGGGCCTGGGGGAGCGCGCTGTAGGAGGCAGGGAAGCCGCGGAAGAGTGGCGGCCCTGAGAGATCCGGGTCCAGCCCGGCGCCGAGATCCATCCTCTCACCTCCCGGGCTCAGCAGCAGTTTCAGCGCCTCCAAAATCCGGTCAAGGTCGCAGGTCTTCAGAACTCCGCTACCCGCCGTCTGCCCGTAGGCCGCCATGACTAGAGTGGAATGCGCAGCTTGCGAGTCCCTCACGCGCCTCGGTTGGCTCGGTGCCGCCGCCATGTTGAATGTGGCAGAGAGTGCCTGGATGCGCCAGGGGGCGGAGCCCGCGGTATGGGGCGGGGCCGGCTAGGTCGGGCAGCGCCCGCGTGTCATAGTTTATCCAGCTGTTTTTACTCCCCTGAAAATACATCATAGCTAACACAGTCTACCTACACTCACAATTTCACAAACTCAATATGACTATCTGCTGTGTAAAGAGAAGAAAGAAGGAATTTATCATAAAATTATATGTATTTTAGTATGAAAATCGTCATAATGAAGACATAATGACGTAGACAGATGCTTGCACCTGCTTATAATGAATACGTTTGGATAAGTAAGACAATATTCAACTGAATATTGACATTTCTTCATCAGTGACATTTTGAAATAAAGTATATCTGTTTATATTTACATGCTATATACAGAGCTACAGCTGCTAACCAAAAGGTCGGCAGTTCGAATCCACCAGCCGCTCCTTGGAAACGCTATGGTACAGTTCTACTCTGCCCTATAGGGTCGCTATAAGTCGGAATCCACTCAACGGCAATGGGTTTGTCTTTTCGTCTCTACATGTACATATTTGTTGTTGTGTTGTTAGGTACTATCGAGCATATATACGTATATCCTTTGTAAATGTAACAGCTACAAGTGTTACTACTGGTAATAAGATTTTCTGAAATAGTCTTAGTAAAGTTCCTAATAAAAGTTCTATCTTTGCTCTGTTTACCCAGTAGTCGCATTCCTGGAAATTTTAGCATATATTAAAATCAGGCCCCTAAAAATGTGTGCTTATGTGTAAAACACAGTGAGTCTGAGATTCAGATAATCAGAAACAGATTACTCACCTACATGAATCATGGTGGGATATTCAAAAGTTATGTTTTCTGAAAGTCACGTTGCAAACAGAGCAATGCTTCTGAGGGCAGGACCTTCAGCATGCCTTGCCTCTCTAAATGTCAACAATGTTCTTATGTCATTGTCACAACCAAGTTTATGCTGCTGGAAGTCTTGGGAAGCAAGATATGTTCCATATGCAAGCCCTGTTCATTTAACTCCTCTCTCCTTAGCATCATTTAGGCCCCCTGCACACCCAGGCTCTGTCCACACAACCTCCGAGCAGCCACCACTTGGCCCCTCTAGGTTTAGAAGTGCATACACTCCTCTGGAGAGCACTGGGACAGGTGCGCAGAGAATTCCAAGGTCCTGATATCTGGAAGAGGAGCCCTGGTGGTGCACTTGCCTGCTAACCAAAAGGTCAGCGATTCGAACCCACCAGCCACTCCAAGGGAGAAAGATGTGGCAGTCTGCTTCTGTAAGGACTACATCCTTGGAAACCCTGTGGGGCATTTCTATTCTGTCCTGTAGGGTCACTATGAGTCAAAACCTACTCGATGGTAATGGGTTTTTTCAGGTACCTGGAGTGTGGCTTAGGAGGAGAGTGAGGATTCTGGGTGGCCAAGTCCCTTAGGCTTGGCAGATTCCTTGCTTATGGGAAAGGGGATGGCTGGAGGTGGCCAGGTGGGGCCTCTAAAGCATGAATCCCAGGGCTGCGGATTAGCCGGGATCTAAAGATAATACCCGTGTGGAGTTTACAAAAGATAAATAAGAGAGTTCTGAGAATCCTGTCCCAAAGTAGTATGGCACCTGGATAGCACTGTTTTTTTTAATGTGTTAGCCTCTCTAGCCTCAGGCACCATATATCCACATGCATGCTTTCAAAAGCAATGTCATAAAGATCCCATAAAATTTTTTACAGCAGAAAAGTATATCCCACATGGATCGTTGGGTACGTTTTAATACGTGTGCTAGGATGTTGGGAGTGCTTAGGGCCTACAAGGGCCTGTATTTGGAGACGGAAACTTTCTCAAGCTTCTCCTAGCCTGAGATTATTCAAATCAGCTTTTAAGGACCTGTTTCCTTAGAATTTGTTATTTAAGCTTATGGATTTTAGTTTATAGGAAATGAATTCTGGTGGCCCCTTCCTCAGTAGAGATTGTGGACCCCTGGTGATAATCTATTAAACATCTATTAAAATTCTCAGACCCACAAGGTTCCTCTAGTGATACGCTAAGAAAACATCTATTACAGCCCATAACCACAAGTGTTGCATCTGAGTGGGTGCTGCTTCTCTGCAAAGAACCGTGTTTTTTCAAGACACACACAGAAGTCTGTATTCATGTAAAATACGTTCCATTGACTTGAAGTCAGCCTACAAGGAGGCGGTTATTAGGAACTTCAGGGACAGCAGCTGACTAAGTCATCAAAGCAGCCTGGGTTGCCTCCGGTTGCTCAACCCAGAACTAACAAAGATAATGGCATTCACTAACTACCATTTTCACAAAGACTATTGTGGGGAGTTAAAGTGATGCTGCACTCAAGAATTTAGCAATGTCTGCCACAGAAGACATACTTAATAAATAGTACCTCTATCTTCACCACCATCCCTTTCACAAGTAAAATCCTGTCAAAACATCTTAAAATTTGGAGGAAAAAAAAATTTTTGAAAGAGAAATATACAGGGGGCTCATCTGTGCTTAAGTGACCTACAAAATTCCCATTAACACTCCTTTAATCTTATGTATTCCCCCCCATGCTTTTGTCATTAGACAAAGACAATTTTTCTTCGGTTATGTATGGGTACAAGTTCTTCTTGAAAAGTTATTTCCCCCTGAGGTCATTTCAAGTTGTTAAACGTTTAGTGAAATGGGTGTAAAGCATTGTGTGGGAAAGGTCCACCACTATTTGTAATGATTGGGACAAAAATACAAGCAAAGGCCCTCACACTATATGTCTAAATATTTCAAAGTTATAAATCAAACATATAGACTGTTAAATAGAATATTTTCTATCTTCCTGCCTTGAGAACTATACCAGGTTTGAATTCAGAATTCTGACTCTACTTCAGAGCTCTGCACTGGAGATGGTGGCATGGGGGGAGCCAACACCCAGTCTCCTACAAACATAGAAATAAAACCGTCCATCCATATGCCAGTACCCTCTCCCCAACACAGGGGGGTCATCTGTGCTTAAGTGACTTTGTGTTTTCTCTTGCCTAGCATGCCCTCAAATTTTCCCATCCAAATCTTAGCCAGCCTTCAAAGCTAAACTCAGGACATGACACAAATATTTGACACAAGCCTATTTATGAAGCACCTGTTTTATGGCAGGCACTACCAGGAACTGGAGTCCCTTGGTGAGTGGTGCAAATCGTTAACATGCTTGGCTGGTAACAGAAAGGCCTGAGTTCACCCAGAGATACCTTGAAAGAAAGGTCTGGCAATCAACTTCTAAAAAGTCAGCCACTGAAAACCTTATGGAGAAGTTTTACTCTGACATACATTGGTCGCCAAGAGTTGGAATCGACTTGATGGCAGCTAGTTTGGTTACCTAAAACTTTCTTGCTCCGCCCCCTCACACAATACTAACAATAAAAGCTAATATTTAACATCCCTATTATGTGCCAGGCATTCTAAATGCTTTATGTAAATCAACCCATTTAGTGCTCCCAACAAGCCCTATTGGAAACCGTGGTGGCATAGTGATTAAGAGCTATGGCTGCTAACCAAAAGGTCAGCAGTTTGAATCCACCAAGCGTTCCTTGGAAACTCTACGGGGCAGTTCTACTCTGTCCTATAGGGTCGCTATGAGTCGGAATTGACTCGATGGCAGTGGGTTTGGTTTTTTTAACAGCCCCATTAGGTAGGTACAATTATCCTTATATTATAGATAAGGAAACTTGCCTAAGCTCATAGCTAGGACAGAATTAGGACTTGAATTTAGGCAGGATGGCTCTAGCGTCTACACCACATACTGCCTTGTAGAGCACCTACAGAAGCAGTAAGAGGGAAACAGGGTTGTTCTCCAGGCCTCCCAGCCTCCAGGATCCTGGCTGGTGCAACTGCCTTCCCCAGTCTTTTTCAGAAGTCACATTTCCCCCCTGGCTACCACTACTGACCACTCTGATCACAATAGAAGGTTCCAGTTAGAATGGGTAAAACATGTTGAACAAAATTCAAAAAAAAAAAAAAAAAGAACAGACTTACCAGTATGAAAGAGACCGGAGGAACCCCCAAGACTATTGCCCTAAGATAACCTTCTAACTTAAAACTGAAGATACTTACGGAGGCTGCTTTCAACCAAATAATAGACGGGGGCTATAAAACATAGGACTGCTGTTGCCCATCCATGGATCTATAAAACAGGGCTTCGAACCAGTTCATTCCTGTTCAAACCCCTGCTGAGAATTTGCATTTCCATCCACAGATATACTGAATAGAATCTACATTTTAACAAGATGGAGGATCTTGCAGAGTTCGAACCAGAATGAACCAGTTAGAAGCCCTGCTATAAACCAAATAAAACTTCAAATTATAACATTGCTCAGATTTTTCTTTTTCTTATTGTTGTGCTTTAAGTGAAAGTTCACAATTCAAGTCAGTCCCTCATACAAAAATTTATACATACATTATGTGACCCTAATTGCTCTCCCTATAACTGTGACAGCACACTCCTCCTTTCCACCCTTGATTTCCTATGTCCACTCAGCCAGCTCCTGACCCTGTCTTTTCATCTTGCCTCTGGACATGAGCTGCCCATTTAGTCTCATGTATCTACTTGAGCTAAGAAGCACACTCTTCATGAGTATCATTTTATGTCCCACAGTCCAGTCTAATCTTTGTCTGAAGAGTTGGCCTTGGGAATGGTCTTAGTTTTGGGCTAACAGACAGTCCGTGGGCCATGTCTTCCGGGGCCCCTCCAGTCTCAATCAAACCATTAAGTCTGGTCTTCTTACTAGAATTTGAGTTCTGCACCCCACTTTTCTCCTGCTCTGTCAGGAACTCCTGTCAGGGTGGTCATTGGTGGTAGCTGGGCACCATCTAGTTCTTCTGGTCTCAGGCTGATGAAGTCTCTGGTTTATGTGGCCCTTTCTGTCTCTTGGCCTAATACTTTCCTTGTGTCTTTGGTGTTATTTCTCCTAGATTTTTCTTTTTTTGACATGTTCCAGTAGAGAAAAGTTGTAGGTCTATTCCAGTTTCCAACAGTGGCAGCGTTGACATTTTGGGCTGGATATATCTTTGTCATGGGGGCTGTCTTGTGCATTGTCGATGTTTAGCAGCATCTCTGGCCTTGACTAGATGCCAGTAGCACTCCCCTAGTTGTGACAATTAAAAAAAACTATCTCCAGAAATTACCAAATGTCCCCTGGGAGGAGAGGGCATGGGAGCACAATCTTACCTGGCAGAGAACAACTGACTTATACTAATTCTCACAACCTATACTAATTTTGCTAACTGAATGGATGTTGTTTGGAGCTTCTATCCCTCAGCTCAGCTCCTAGTAGTATCCCATTGACGTGGGCCTTTTATTGGTTTCACCACATGCCACATGGATGGATATGCTTATGAATTTAATCTTCCCCACTCTGCCTCCAACAGAATGACACAAAGTCCTGGGAAAATCTTTTCAGTATGAAGCTTCTTTATCCATGTTTACTGAGTTTACTGTGGCATAATGAAATAAGACAGTCTGACAATGATTTAACAAATTTCTTTAATAAAATTTATAAAAATGCATTTCTGAGAATAATTCTCAGCTTGAATTGTGTTCTTTTCCACTCCCAAAGAAAATACAAAATTATCAGCACCCACAAACATATACACTCAAAAGTGCAGTCATATTACCTACACAAAACTACATTAGAGAGTTTAAACTGCAGAAAAATCAAGACAATTCCAAGAAGTGATTGCAGGGATAATTGTTTTCTTTTAAAAACAGATGACAGTAAAACAATTTAGATAACTCTTTCCTGTGTTTGCCAAGTGTTTCCTGAAATTCTCCCTTTGACTATAAGAAGATCCAAATCAAAGCCCTCACCCCACCCCCACCCTCGCTTGTTTAATCCTTTAGGGCAATTATTTTCTTTCTGTTCCTAAGAAAAAATTTGGATTTTATATATTCTCCATTTTCTATGCACACTTCAAATCTGGGACAAATGTATCCAGATAAGCCAGCATTTTCTGTAGACAGGACCAAAAGCAGGCACTTGGGCATTCTGTGCTTAAGGTACCATGGTATAAGGAAGGATCCTGGTAAGAAATAACATGTTGAGATTCTTCCATTCTTCCAGAATTTTCATGGATAGTGGTAGACCCACCTCAACTATCCTCAGCATCAGTCTACTAAACTGCCAGGCTCAATGAAGACCTCTCTTCCCATCTCCAAGCCCTTGTTCCATACTTCCCCTCTGCTCTACCTAGCCATCTCCCGTTTTTTGGCTGCAGCACTTTAGGCACTATTCTAAGTCTCCAAACATATCACTGTTTTGTTTCAGTGATAAACATACATTAAAAATTAAGTGGCACCTACAAACTCATCACATTTTCTGATCAACGCTCCCTAATGAAGTAAAGTGCCCCATAATGATGTTCACATAACAAACATTCCTACTCAAAACAAGTAAATGTCTGGGTGCCTGTTTCAAGTTACATACTCAGGAGATAAAAAAAGGAGCTGTTAAAGGTCTTAAGAGTACACGATACCTAGCTGAGATACGGCTAGGGTAAGACACAAGCCTCTTGCCCTGAAAGGGTTCAGTAATTCCTGCATTACAGAACTTCCGTCTGGGGCAGTGAAACAGAATTCAGAAGGAGTGAGAGTGAATATTAGAACATGGGATACAAGTGCAGTGATGGGGGAAGAACACACAAATTTAAAAAAAAAAATCATATACACAAAACAACAGAAATAGGGCAGTTGACCTCCCATCCCCGACTTCCTTTTTAAAATGAAACAGAGCCCCTAAGGAGATCTGCAAGATGTTGGCAGGGTCCTGAGGCTGAAGCTGTTCTTTTAAAATATTAATATTTAAGGGTATTTTAGACATCATCACCACGTAAAGAGTGATGAATGATAAAAGGTTTCAGGAAACAAGTCAACACCTTTTTAACACACACAGATTAGATCAATAAATTGGAAATCATAACTATCCTAACTGCATGGCTGATCATGGTCTCTCCTTTCCAAAAACTCATCTCGAGTGAAGGGAGCTGAAAACCATGAGACATGACTTCTGCATGTCCCATCACATGGGTGTAGGGATGGATTGCTCTCCCCATCTTTCTTGAGTCCCCTAGTCATCCTCGCCGCCTCCATACATATCTGCCAGCTTCTTGAAGCGATTGCCCCATTCATTCAAGTAGTCATAGTCTTGGTCTTGGTCTGACTCCGAGGAGTTCAGAGAGCTCAGACTAGCAGCTTCAGAACCACTTCCTTCATAGTCAAACACGAGCAGAGAGTCATAAGGGGGAGCAGTGGGGTCGCTATCAGCCGCCTTCAGGTTCTAAAGAGGAAGGGGAACAACAGGAACTTTTAGTGAAAGGAACCACACACCTGTCATCTTTGGCAAGAACAACTTCTCTTAGTGTCCTCAAGCTCCATGACACATGACAACCCAACCATTCTGTGTACCAGCATGGTGCAATTAATATCAATAGGGTAAAAGTATACAAAGATAGATATGATATACTGTTAATGAAAAGAGAAGGTTACAGGAAAATGCACAGAATGTTTTCCCCCTAAACCAAAATGGTAAATTATGTGTAGGCAAGGGAGAAATTGGTACCAATCAGTCAGGATGGAGTGCCCACAAATCAAGGCGGGGCTCCAACGCCACAAATCAGGATGGACAGAGGCTAAAAACAACGAGGAAAGTCACAGTGGTGTGTACATGCTACATGCATTTCAGCCAGGAAAGGTCTGGAAGGATGAATGCCACACTTAACTCTGGCCAGCAGAGTTGGGGGGAACTAAGGATGGACTTGCATTTTTTAACTTTCCTTTCTTTGTAGTTTTTTCTTTATATACATTTTCATAATTTATACTTTTAGAATGAAAAATGTATTATTTTTGGAATTAAAAAACAAAAGCTACAATCATATGTGATGACATGAGAATGGAAAGGATCTGAATCCAGATATACCTAAAAAGATGGCTTGAACCAGTCCTTCCTATTCCCAGTTTTCTCTTAGGACCCAGTGGCTAGAATGAATGTGCCTAATGCACCAGCTTAGGCTGCCTACCCAGCCTTCTATTTACATGAGGTAAATTCACTGCTATATATTTAAGCTATTGATGTTTACAGCTGAGTAAGTTTCTGACATATACAATATGGATGCTATTTTTCTGATACACATTTAACATCATATCTCCACCAGAAGCAGGCTACAGGGAGCAAAGATCCACTAGTGAGTCCAAAGTGGATCTACCTGGAATCTCTTTAGTTTCATTTCTGTTTCTACTAAACCCTTTCTAGTAATTGTTGATTTCACCATATGGACTTTACAAATTCACTAAAATCAATCCAAGATGCTATTAGTTGTGAAATTAGGATAGGGCACAAATAAAAGAGACAGGGAAAAAAATGGTCAGGGATTAGGAAAGTAGAAAGCTTGGTAAATGAAAAAAATCTAAAGACTCTTTTTTTCTAATTTTTGACATGACGGCTCCTTTCTAAGGTTAGAGATGAGTTGCACCTTGATTTTGACCTTGCTTACTTACTTCATCAATAAAATTTCCAATTTCATCAGGATTGGCGGGGCGGGGACGATACTGGGGCATACTCATGAGGCTTGGTGCCACATCATTGCGAATCACTTCAGGTCGAGCATCCAGGCCCCTGTGCAACTGGCTCAAGTCAAAGTCCTTTGGAGAAAAGGTAAAAGTACACCGAAGGGTAAAAAGGGGAGTCCAAAGAAACAGTCACATATAGGATTGGTATATTCGGTTTATAGATTATAGTATTGGATAATGCCTTAACTGTCAACTGTATGATATCTACAAGCATGTGCCTATTTAACTTGAAATGACAGCTTCAACCTAAGAAGAGTCTCCTAAACAGCACTAGAAAGGAATATAGTATGAAACACCGTGAGTAGCACTTGTTAGTACAGATACAGACTTATTAACTTTTCATAGGGTATATGTGGCAGATTAGATTATTGTTCAGCAAATATTCACTCCCTTTCCACCCTTGTCTCTGTGGGAAGAATATATATCCATCAATGGTACACTTCGTTACGTAACATGCTTTGGTCTTGTAGTGGACGGAGTATACACATATATCCCTTCACTATGGACTCGGTCATGTGACTGGCTTTGGTCAATGGGATATTAGCCGATACGACACAGGCAAAGACTTAAAATGCATTTTATACTAGTCTGCTGGTACAAAGAGGATTAGAATTGCATAGAAGAATCTTAGACCCAACTTGTGGTTTGTAACTATCCAGCCAAACACTGTCTAGATGAGCTGAACTCAAGCCAACCTACAGATGCTTATGAGCCTAGCTGAGATCAGCAGTTGCCCCAGCTAACACACAAACGCATGAGAAAGACATGATATTATTGTCTGCCACTGAGATTCTGAGTAATCCTAACATAACGTAGCATTACTGTGGTAACAGTTTACTGATACAATACATCTGGTATCTTCAACTAGACTTAGAAGCTCCTTGAAATTTAGAACCACATCTTATATTTCTCTGCACCTACTATACTTTGTATATGGCAAGCATTGAAATTCTTATCAATAGCTCTTCTCAAGACCGCAGAGCTCAGCAGTTGGGCCTCTATGTGTGGTGTGAATCAAAGGCAAGACTCTGTGATGGGACCCATGGTTCGCATTCTAAATAGAGTGGACTCTCTAAGACCCTCAAAAGTTCCCTGGAACTCCTCGGTAAGATGAGTTAAGATCATTTCTAAAATCAGAGAAAAGTAAAGGGCCTAGATATTTAATATCCACTAAAAAGCAAAAAAAAAAAAAACTGTTTGGTCTAGCTAACAAACTCAAGGGGAACAAATTATGCCAAAGATCATTTGATAGAAGTACATGTCCTGAAAGGCAAAAAACATAGTGATGAGTAGTGCAGACTCTGGAGCCAGACCATTTGTTCTACTGCTTCCTAGCTCTGTGACGCTGGACAAGTTACTTAACTGCTCTATGCCTCAGTTCACTCAACTGCATGCAGAGCAGTAAGTGATCAATATATGTTAGCTGACACAGAGCTATTTAAAATATCTGCCTTTTCCTCATCATCACTTCTCCCAAGTAAAGAGATTTCTATTAAGTTTTTCCCTATCTTTTTAAAAACCACCTGGTCCTCTTCTCCACCTCCTTCTTCATCATAGTAATAAACGTTGTCCCGAGTGTCATCTTCAGGGGGCAGTAAGGGCTCCTTGACCACTCGTCTCCTCCGAAGAAACAGCAGAAGCAGCAGAGTCAGGACTATGGTGAGGGAGAGAGTGCAAGAGAGTGATGAGAGCCACAGAAAAGAAGCTCGTAAGAAGAAGCTATCACAGTGCACCACTGCCTCCTTAGATGGCCACTGGCTGACTTTAAAACATTTCCAGAGTCAGTCCACATAATGATGCTCACATTCCTGAAGCTAATATATACAGTACAACATAGTAGACAATTATAAGTAATTTCAAATGTGGCCTTTAGCAGGATGTTAAACCAATCACAATCATTTCCCAAAATCTGGGGAAAAGTTCCAGCCAGAGGAAATTGTAAGGGCAAAGGCCTTGAAGCAGGAGCATGGTTGGTGGGACTGGGGAAAGGTAAAGAAGCAATGGAGTGACAAGTGGAAATGAGGTCATAGAGGCAGACACGTGGACCCCTGGAAGACTACATATGCCAGTCTCCCTTGAATCTGGGTTTGGGACAGTGGGATATGGGTGGAGGTGACATGCACAACTTCCAGATATGTGCCCTCCACTTCCTCTATCATCCCCCAATCCCTCCAGGATGGAAAATGGCGATGGTGGTGAGAAGCTTTGATCCTGCTGATGAGGACAGCACCCCTAAGACCTTGCTACTCCAACTGCAGTCCAGGAACCAGCAAAGTCAGCATCACCTAGGATTTGGTTACAAATGCTGAAATCTGCGGCTCCACTCCAGACATACTGTATATGAATTCACATTTTACCAAGAGGCATAGGCAATTTGTATGCACATTCAAACTGCACTGAGGAATGAAAGAGCAAAAATTAGAAAGAACCTGGGTCCCCGGTTAACTTCCTGCAACAAGTATGCCTTTCCAGCCTTGGACCACTTACCTCTGAATGCTTCAGTAAGAAAGTAATAAACTTCTATTTTATTTAAGTCACTGCATTCTTAGGGTCTCTTTCTTACAAGAGTTTAACCTGAACCCTAACTAATACAAAGACAAAAATCATTTCTAGGAAATAAATATATTTGCCTATTTTAGAAGTCAAAGGCAGAAACACTGGCTAGCTGCACTTACTTAGCAAAGCAAGGATTCCTCCAAGAATTCCCAGAACAGCAGAAACTTGCAATTCTGTGTTGGGAGCTGGCATATTCCTCTTACAGGTGTTGATGGTGCCTTCGCAGTCACACATAAAGACCTCTAACGTGGTCACTTGGTCTTTATTCTGGTTATCTGTGAGCTTGAGATTTATTTTGTAGTCACCCAGTTCTAAACCAACCTTTGGCATCAAAAGAAAAGAATCTCGGGCTGGGGAAGCAACAAAAATAAAAGATGGAACCAGGGGAGAAAAAGTTAATTCTAGAATAAATTTATTGTGGAACTAAAAACATCCCAAAGGTGAGTAAAGAAAACCAAGCAGCTTGGGTTTTAGATTACTAAGTAGTACATCACGAAGTTAAGACACCAGGAAAGGAAAGGGACTTTTGGTGGGGTGCCTCAAATTCTGAGGGAAAAGGAAACATAATCAAACAAAAGTGATAGTATCTGGGACTTCAGAGGAGAAATTCAGGAATTGGGGGAAAGGGGAACTTTGGGAGTCAGAGCAAAGATCTCAAAATTAAGACCGAAGCACTGACCTGCATCTGTGTACTGGATGGACCAGTTGACACTTGCCCCATGCGTCAGCTCTGCTGTGAAGGGAGAAGTATTGGGGGGAAGATCTGGATCAATGATGTGTATGGTATGAGGCTGTGGATCTACCTGGCAGAATTCCATACTTCGAGGTTCTGGTATGGGGGCATTGTCATTCACATCAGAGAGGATCAGAATAAAGGTTCCAGTACCAGTAGCAGGGAGAGAATCTAAGAAAAAAATACAGAAGAAATATCACAACTAAGAAACACTAATGAATCCCCACTGCCTCCCATCAGCTCAAACAAAATCTTTTCTTTTTTAACAAACAGATCTAATATTATTAATTTCTTCTACTATTTTTTCCCTTTTTTAAAAATTTTATGTTAGATGAAGGTTTACAGAACAAAGTAGCTTCTCATTAAACGGTTAGTACACATATTGTTTTATGACATTGGTTAACAACCCCATGACATGTCAACACTTGCCCTTCTCCACCTTGGATTCCCTGTTACCAGCTTTCCTGTCCTAACTTACCTTCTAGTCCTTGCCCCTGGGCTATTGTGCGCCCCTTTAGTCTTGTTTTATTTTATGGGTCTGTCTAATCTTTGGATGAAGGGCGAGCCTCAGGAGTGACTTCATTACTGAGCTAAAACAGTGTCCAAGGGCCATACTCCTGGATTTTCTTCAGTCTCTGTCAGGCCAGTAAGTCTCGTGTTTTTCTATCAGTTAGAATTTTGGTCAACATTTTTCTCCAGCTGTCTGCAAACATCTATTGTGATCCCAGTCAGAGCAGTCAGTGGTGGTAGCTGGACACCATCTAGTTGTATTGGACTCAGTCTGGTGGAGGCTGTAGTAGTTGTGGTCCATTAGTCCTTTGGACTAATCTTTCCCTTATATCTGTTTTTTCAACTGTTATAGTTCAAGTGAAAGTTTACAATTCAAGTTAGTCTCTCCTACAAAAATTTATACATACATTGTTATGTGACCCTAATTGTTCTCCCTGTACTGTGACAGCACACTCCTCCTTTCCACCCCAGATCCTACATCAACCAGCTCCTAACCCTCTCTGCCTTCCCAGCTCACCTCCGGACAGAAGCTGTCCATTTAGTCTCTTGTATCTACTTGAGCTAAGAGGCACGCTCTTCATGAGTATCATTTTATGTCCCACAGTCCAGTCCAATCTTTGTCTGAAGAGCGGCCCTCAGGAACTGTTTTAGTTCTAGGTTGACAGAGAGTCCGGGGACCATGCTTCCTGGGGATCCTTCAGTCTCAGTAAGACTATTAAGTCTGGTCTTTTTACTAGAATTTGAGTTCTGCACCCCACTTTTCTCCTGCTCCTTCAGGAACTGTCTGTTGTGTTCCCTGTCAGGGCTGTCATTGGTGGTAGCGAGTACCATCCAGTTCTTCTGGTCTCGGGTTGATGAAGTCTCTGGTCTATGTGGCCCTTTCTGTCTCTTGGGCTAATACTTTTCTTGTGTCTTTGGTGTTTTTCATTCTTCTTTACTCCAGGTGGCTGGGACCAATTGATGTATTTTAGATGGCCGCTTGCTAGCTTTTAAGACCACAGAAGCCACTCACCAAAGTAGGATGCAGAACATTTTCTTAATAAACTTTGTTACACCAATTGACCTAGATGTCCCCTGAAGCATGGTCCACAGACCCCTGCTCCTGCTACTCTTTTTGATTGTATTCAGGAAACTTTTTAGCTTTGAATTAGTATCGATGTGCTGACTTCCCCTGTAGTGTGTGCTGTCCTTCCCTTCACCTAAGATAATTCTTGTCTACTATCTAGTTGGTGAATAACTCTCACCCTCCCTCCCTACCCTCATAACCATCAAAGAATGTTTTCTTTTGTGTTTAAACCCTTCCTTGAGTTCTTATAAGAGTGATCTTATACAATATTTGTCCTTCTGTGACTGACTAAATTCACTCAGTGTAATACCCTCCAGATTCCTCCATGTTATAATATTTTTCACAGCTTCATCGTTGTTCTTTATTGTTGCGTAGTATTCCATTGTGTGAATATACCGTAATTTTTTTATCCATTCATCCGTTGATGGGCACTGAGATTGTTTCCGCCTTTTTGCTATCGTGAACAGTGCTGCAATGAACATGGGTGTACATGTAACTATTCGTGTGATGGCTCTTATATCTCTAGGATATATTCCAAGGAATGGGCTAGCTGGATCACGTGGTGCTTGTATTTCTAGCTTTTTAAGGAAGCACCACATCGATTTCCAAAGTGGTTGTACCATCTTACATTCCCACCAATGGTGTATAAGTGTTCCAGTCCACAACTTCTCCAGCAATTATTATTTTGTGTTTTTTGGACTAATGCTAGCCTTGTTAAACCCAGTCTTATCCTGGTTTCTCAGCCGTCCATTCCCAGGCCCGAACCGACCCCTTGAGCCCAAGAACCACTAACTCCTAGGGCATCTTCGCTCCTGGTTAGGCAGGTCTGACTGTCTTAGATTGTTGTTGTTAATAGCTGTCCCTGAGTCGGTTCTGACTCATAGTGACGCTATGTACAACAGAATGAAACATTGCCTGGTCCTGCTCCATCCTCACAATCGTTGCTATGCTTGAGCCCATTATCGCGGCCACTATGTCAGTCCATCTCATCCAGGGGATCCCTCTTTTTTGCTGACCCTCTACTATACCAAGCATGGTATGCTTTTCCAGGAACTGGTCCCTCCTGATAAAATGTCCAAAGTACATGAGACAAAGTCTCACCATCCTCACTTCTAAGGAGGATTTTGGCTGTACTTCTTCCAAAACAGATTTGTTCATTCTTCTGGCAGTCCACAGTATACTCAATATTCTTAACCAAACCATAATTCAAAGGCATCAATTCTTCTTTGGTCTTCCTTAAGCATTTTTCCAGCTTTTGCATGTATATATGGCCATTGAAAATACCATGACTTGGGTCATGTCTTAGGTAGCCATGCTTATTCCCACACTGATAACTGTTATTCAAGTCATTCCTCATACCAAAGACACCCTTCTTCCTCTTCTCCTCATAACTTTTATTCAACCATTAAATTTTAACTACTCCAAGAGGCCCCCCACCAGTTCTTCTTTTTCTGAATTTCTATGGCATTTAAGATTATACTATTAAAAAAAAAAACCCTCATACCATAAAAGGTAGAGCCTTTTTAAATGGATGCCAACTGGTTTTTAAAAGAGATTTGGAAGTTCATATACACTTCTGTTAGCATTTCTTTTGCATCTCAATACAGCACCTAACATATGATAGTAGAAAAAGTACTCAAGGAACCATCATCAATATTAGTAATTACGTAAAAATAACATAAATAAGAATTAATCTCAATCAGCAAAAAGTATGTGTGTGGTTACATAGGCAGATATGCGTGCTTATGTATGTATAGGTAAACACATATGAATATACAGGTATGCGTGTATAGATGTTTCTGTAGGCAAATGTACATACATGTTTGTAAGTGCTGCATATATATTCATATATAAAATGAAGCACATGGGGGGACAGTTATGGATACTCTCTAGACATAACCAAATACCTCGCAAGGTTGGTTTGAGGGTTTAGGACCATAGTCTCAGGGGACAACATGGTCAATTAGCATAACATAGCTTATAAATATAATGTTCTACATACTAGTTTGGCGAGTAGCATCTGGGGTCTTAAAAGCTTGCAAGGGGCCATCTAAGATACAACTATTGCTCTCTAAGCATCTGGAGCAAAAGAGGAGGAAACCAAAGACTCAAAGAAGAAACTAGACTACAAGACTAATAGTCTACATGAACCCCAGCCTCGCCTGCATTGAGACCAGAAGAACTAGATGGTGTCTGCTTAGCACTACCACCACTCTGACCAGGGACAGAATAGAAGGTCCGTGTTAGAATGGATAGAAAATGTAGAACAAAACTAAAATTTATAAAAAAGACCAGACTTACTGAACTGATAGAGACTAGAGGACCCCTAAGACTATCACCCTGGGATATCCTTTTAAGCTGAAACTGAATCCACACTCAGAGGTCACCTTTCAGCCAAATAAGAGATTGGCCTATAAAATAAACAATAACACCCATGAGGAATATGCTCCTTAGAACAATCAACTATAAGAGACCAAATGGGGAACATTTGCCCAAAAGCAAAGATGAGAAGGCAAGGACGGGCAGGGAAACTGGAGGGATGGAAACGGGGAAGGCAGGGTGGAAAAGGTGAGACTGCTGACACATTTATGGGGACACAATGTCACGGAACAAGCTGTGTATAAATTCTTGAATGGGAAACTAATTTGCTGGGTAAAACACAATAAAATGTTCAAAAAAAAGAAAACAGGTTGGACGAATCCACACCTCCCTAACAATGATAATGATAATAAAAACAATAGCACTTATATAGCATGTTCTATGTGGCAAACACTATTCCAGTCACTTTAACATAAATTAACTCATTTAATCCGGATATGGTACTGTTGTCATCCCCATTTGTCAGATAAAGGAATTGAAGAACATAAAAATTAAGTAATAAGTCCAAAGTCACACAGGTGTTAAGCTTGGACCTGGGATATGAACTGAGGCAGCCTTGCTCCCATGGAGGATAAGTGGGGTTCAGGCACAGAGAGGGAGTGGTTAAGAGGAACCTCTGCTTGACCAAAACTGTTTGAATTTTAGATGATGAGAATGCATTTGTGTGTTTTTGTTTAATTAAAAACAAAAGAAAAAGAATGAACTCATGCCTACATAAAAAAGGGCCGGGAACAGGGAAGCAAGCCAGTCAGGAGGGTGAGGAATTAAAAGCACAAACAGGGGTTCCTTACCACTGTCAGTAGCAATAATGAGGGCTGTGTATGTGCTGTTCTTCACATGCTCCAAGTCTTCTCTGTCTAACTCGGCCCGAGTGGAAATGGCCCCAGTGTCTGGATTAATCTCCAGCCAGTTGGCAGTATCCCTCCAAATCCGATACCTGAAAAGGCACAAGAGCAGGCTTAGGATAGGAACAGCAAGCAGCATATAAATGAAGAACCATACAGTGCCTCTTCATTTACCTATCTATTTTCAATTTTCATGCTGAAAAATGTCAAACCTACAGAAAACATGCCAGAATAGCATGCTGACCATCCATGTACCTTCATCCAGGTCCACCCACTGCTAACATTTGGCCAAATTTGCTTTCTCTTGGGCAGGGCCAAGACGGTGGAGTAGTCAGAAGCTTCCTGTGGTCCTTTTGACAACACAGACCCGAAAAAACAAGTGAATCGATTATATATGACAATCTAGGAGCCCTGAACAGCAAAGGCAAAGTTGAAGAATCAGATAGAGTGGCAGGGGGAGGGAGAGACAGTTCAGAAGTAGCAAGGAGTAGCCAGAACTGATGCGGTGGGAGCCAGCGCCCCTCAGGCCGGATTGGCTTGCCTGCATGGTGAGGCAAGCTGCGGAGCATGGCAAGAGTTTTCCACAATAGGAGAGACCCAGTGGCAGAGAATCTACTCGGGCATCCAGAGTCAGCAAAAAGCAGTGCTTCATTGGCAAACGATAAGTACTTGCATCTGACCTACCACGCAGATCAAAAAATACCCTTTGGGAGAACATCTCTCCTATTTACCTGCCCCTCTACCCGCTCTAAACTGGGTCTGGGTCTGGCTTCAGCGATTGCTGAGTCCCCTGGGCCAGAAGTAGGACCCGTTACACTCCCTGAGCCATTTTTCCAGCCTTGGAGGGGGAAGAAATTAACAAATATTGGAAAAAATAAACCGCCGGCTCCCCTAAGCCAGGAACTCAGGGTAAGCACAGCTCCTTTGCCTGGGCACAGGCATAAGGGATCCATGGATGTTGAACATCTTTAACCCTGCATAGATCTGTGCGGGCCCATTTCAGCAGCATAGGCCCTCGTCACTACAGTACAACAAGGTATATACCTGAATTCTAACTTCAACTGTATCAGCTATATAGTGAAGTGGTAGGTTCATGATATTTGACACTGCCCATTAAACAGGGTCCTCACCTACCCACATCAGAGGCCTGAGACTGGTGGCTCCACCCACCCCACCTAGCCACCCATGACATGGGTCCAAGAATAAGTGGTACCCCCTAGTCCTTACAGCCAACAGCATTGGATGCTCATAGTCCCACTGCAAAACCCATCCACCTACACAGTCTAGGGAACAGAGACACACTTTTGTCGCAGACACTCAGGGGCAGCTGTCAGCTCCCTGACTTGCGCAGCGCGTGACCGCCTACTGCAGCCAGATACCTGTGCCTACACCAATCACCCATGCCTGTCTAGGACTGTAGGGGAAAGTCTGCACCACACACCTGGTGACCGACTACCTGGAAACCTGAGCTGAATTCATACAAGAAAAGTAAACAGACTCCTGGGCTCACATACATAGTAACAGATCTCACCACCTGGTGACAGGATGTTGGAGCTTCAAAAAGGCATCAATAATCAAACTAGCTCACATGAGCAGCCTATTTGGGCATATCAAAACAAAACAAGAAGCTAGGATACAGTAAGCAAACATAAGTAAATATAATAACTTATCGATGGCTTGCAGAAAACAGTTAATGTCAAATCACATAAAGAGACAGACCATGATGGCTTCAGCAAAGGATTAAAACAAAGACTTGAAAAATCTTCCAGAGGAATAGAACTTCTTGGAATTACCGGAGGTAGAATTCAAAAGACTAATACAGAGAGCTCTTCAAGATATCAGGAAGGAGATCATTCAAAATGCAGAACAAGCCAACGAACACACAGACAAAAGCAACAGAGAAACTTAAGAATGTTATTCAAGAGCATAATGACAAATCTAATACCTGCAAGAATCCATAGAGAGACAGCAATCAGAAATCCAGAAGATTAACAATAAAATTTCAGAATTAAACAACTCAATAGAAAGTCATAGGAGAAGAACTGAGGCAATGGAAGATAAAGCACTTGACACCAACTTACCTGAGGAAAAATCAGATAAAAGAATTTAAATAAACGAAGAAACACTAAGAATTATGTGGGGCTCTATCAAGGGGAATAACTTATGAGTGATTGGAGTACCACAACGTGGTGGGGGTTGGGGGTAGATAACAGAAAATACAGAGAGAAGTGTTGAATATTTGTTAGCAGAAAATTTCCCTGATATCATGAAAGATGAGAAGATAGCTATCCAAGATGCTCTTTGAACCCTACATAAGGTAGATCCCAAAAGAAAGTCACCAAGACATGTTATAATCAAACTTGCCAAAACCAAAGATAAAGAGAGAATTTAAGAGTGGCCAGGGATAAACGAAAAGTCATCTACAAAGGACAGTCAATAAGAATAAGCTCAGACTACTCAGCAGAAACCAATGCGGGCAAGAAGGCAGTTGGACAACATACATAAAGCCTTGAAGGAAAAAAACTGCCCGCCAAGAATTATATATCCAGCAAAAGTGTCTCTCAAATATGATGGCAAAATTAGGGCATTTCCAGATAAACAGAAGTTTAGGGAATTTG